ATGGTTTCTAAATTGTTTATTGTACTTTCATCTCTATAGCATATGGACGTGTGCTTCTATTATATACGTCAACTGGCAAGAAGTGCGAGAGATTTCAAGTTTGTAGCTACCACAACGGACTCGTTGTTCCAGGCCAAGCTAAAGCACATGTATCCTAGTTTCAAGGATGATGCAAATGTTCTTGTCACAGATGATAGACTGATTAACTATATTACCGGTGCGCGAATTCCATTGAGCACTCCATGGGTTGAAGTTGACCTTGTGTTTATCCCACTTCTGCCTACCAACAAAGCACATTGGATGCTTGGAGTGTTGGACATAAAGGCACATACGTTGCGTTTATTGAATTCGTCCAGGAAGACATACAATGATATCAAAGTCCGTACTGGAATTGAACCTTTTGTCAGCATGCTTCCGTATCTTATGAAATCTGTTGGAATATGGAAAAAAGATTCCATGGAGTTGAATGTGGATTTTGATTTCTCTCTTCCCCAACAGAAAAATGGGCAAGTTTTTTTCCCTTCACTAACAGTTAAACATATTATAACTTGCTGGATTTCATAGCTAATATTCTGTTTTTTGTGTTCCTAGACATGATTGTGGCATTTACGTGGTCAAGTACGCGGAGTACATGCTACATGACGATATAGGATCCATGCCAATGAAGTTTGATGCGGGGAGAGCTCGGTTGGATGTAGCTTCACTGTTGTTCAAACATCGTGAAATCGGGAAGACTAGAAAGCCGATGCAGCCTACTAGTGGGGAAAGCATTGTTTTAGAGTGATAGTGCAATTTAGAAGTAACATGTTGTAATAGCAGGAAACATTGTCTCGTGTTTTGGAAATTCGTTTGTAATGACAACGCAGTTATTACTTTTGTCTGTTTATATCAAAAAGTTCATTAATGTTTGGGGACTTTACTACAAGTTTCACTGTATATCATATTTTGCTATATTGACACCGTATCGAGGACAAAGTCTCAAAATTTAATGGTTGCCTGCAGTTATTCGGATTATCACATGTCACCAGTTTCTAGGATTATCTGCAGTTCCAAGGTCATTGGTTTGTGTAATTTGGTCACAGGTCAATTCCCATTGTCACAGGTCACTGCACCCTGGTCACAAGTCACAGGTTACCAGCAATTTTTAGGATTATCACAGGTCACAGGTTACTTGCAATTCCAAAGGTCACTGGTTTGTGTAATTTGGTCACAGGTCAATTCCCATTGTCACAGGTCACTGCACCTTGGTCACAGGTCACAGGTTACCTGCAGTTTTTAGGATTATCACAGGTCACCAGTTTCTAGGATTATCTGCAGTTCCAAAGGTCACTGGTTTGTGTAATTTGGTCACAGGTCAATTCCCATTGTCACAGGTCACTGCACCCTGGTCACAGGTCACAATATATTGTTCACAGGTCATGAAGAATTATTAAAAGTCAATCCAATCTGGTCACAGGTCATTGAAGATTTGTTACAGATCATTTCATACTTTTGTCACAGCTGAACCACTTCCATTTTGCAGAGTCTTTGCAATATGTCACTGGTCATCTTTTGTTGGTCACAATAAATGGTCACAGATCTCTGTATATTAGTCACAACTCATTGACATCTAGTCACAGATGATTTCATATATTCACAGTTGATTGCGCAGGGGTCACAGGTCACTGAATTCTGGTCACAGATCATTTATATTGGTCACAAGTCACTGCATTCTGGTCACAGGTCATTAATAATGATCATAGTTAACGCATACTAGTCACATGTTATTGTAGAATGATCACAGATCATTAATTTGTGTCATCCAATGTTTTGCATCCTACGTTTACAAAAAATCAATGAATGAAAAAAACAATGGAATTATAAAAAATTTATCAATGTGCATTTCCAGTCTTCATCCTCTTCCTCTCTTTATTCTTATTGCTTTGACTCAACGGAACTAAGTTGTTGTATGTTCTACAATTGTGACCACTTTCACCACACCGACCACATTTGACAGTTATGTTTTTCTCGTACGCTGCTTTGAATCTCTTCTCAGTAGGCCTTTCACAACTTTGCTTTTGATTAGGTGCAATTACAACTATGTCATAGACATCATTTGGCACGGTCTATTCAGCTGGATTTCCTACCAGAAAAATGGTTTCTTGGTATGTATTTCTGAACGCTTCACTTGTGTAGTAGTAGGAGCAGTATTCATATGGATCCATCTTCATACTCGCAAACACAGCCAAAGCATGTGGACAAGATAGTTGATCAACTTGAAGCATCCTACATGTGCATGTCCGATTTTCTATATCAACAACGAAGGAGGAACTTTCACCGCTAACTGAGAACATTGCCTGATTAATAGGTGAAACCTACAGATATAGACTCAAGTTATAGGCATAACAAGTCACGTAATTAAAAAGTAGGACACGGATGAAATTACATGTCATGTAGTTCTATATAATATTGCACAAATATTACCGAAACACAACGGTACAGATTACAGCAAAAGTCACAGCACATGTCACAGATCATATCCGGTAAGTTACAGATTATAGATTAGGTCACAGTAATCAAGCTTACCCACAGGTTTCTCATATCTGTACTCATTTCCCTTATCTTCTTCTCATACTTGATTGACAAGGTTGTCAAAGTGCCTTGGGCATCCTCCTTGTGTCTACAGAACCAAGATTATAGAATTTGTCTCAATGACTCCAACAAAGCTAGAATAGGGTAGTTCTTGGCAGACTTTGTAACCGCATTAACCAACTCCACAATATTCGATGTCATTGTAGAATACCGGTTTGAAGGCATGTGGAAACGTGACCATCTCTCAGGTCCAACTTCATCCTACAAAACAAAACCATGGAAATGTGTATCATATAGCGTACAGTACCATGTTAAACGTATTTATGTGAATATCATCATAGGACAACATATAGTATAGTACCAGATAACCCCTTATCTTCTGATTAATCGAGTCGAGTTGTTGCATGTAATATTCATATTCCAATAGTGTGTAGGCATGAACAGCTGCATTGAATGCTTGTGTTATGTTTTGTCCTGATCTCCCGTACTGTGATTTTAGATTTTGTAGTAGATGGTAAGAACATATCCCGTGACATGCTCCCAGATACACATTTTCAATCGCCTTTTTGATGCTGTTGTGACGATCCGACACGAAGCACAAACTGTCTCTATCCCCATATACTTTTCTCAACTGTCTAAAAAACCATGTCCAGGAGCTGTCATTCTCGTTATCCCCAATCCCGAAAGCAAGTACATAAATGCTGTTATTTGCATCTTGTGTACATGCCGTGAATAAGGTGCCACCATAATGTCCATTTAGATAGGTGCCATCAACCACAACAACTGGCCTACAATGTTTCCATCCCCGTATAGATGCACCTAGTGCCATGAAGCAATATTTAAACCTATTGTGACCATCAATTTCTAGACATGTGACTGATCCAGGATTTGTTTGTTGTAGCACAAAAAAAAAAGGCTGGTATCTTATTGAATGAATCAGTTGGATCACCCCTAAGCACTTTCAGAGTTTCCTCTTGAGATCGCCAAGCTTGGACATAATTCAAAGATACTTCGTATGTATGCAGCATGTCGTTGCATATATCATTCGGTGTGTATATTGTGCGCGATGATGTGTACTTATACTTAATGCAAGTTGACACAACCGTCTTTGTTACTTGCCTATGAGTACTGAGTACGATGTTTGAAGCACATATGTGACCTTCTGCAATGTGTCTGATTTTAAACATATCTGTTTTGGCTAGCTTTGATGCTCTACATATCCAATTACACTCATCACGTGAATATTTTACAAGATAGTCTTTCTTCTCGGACCGAACAACCACGTACTCAAACATGTTTTGGATTGCATAAAACGACAAGCTCAATTTCATTATCTCCTTGTTACGGAAGACTCTTCCTTCCTCTACCTCCCTAGCATCTGCCACCGCCACAACTGTGAGCTCATGCTCAAGATTGTCACTAGATGGATCCATTATTGCTCCACATATGTCTGATGACATATCTGTCAATGAAAACCTATGTTCGTTCGATTGAACATCAACTGATAGCGCAATAGGCTGTTTTTCGATATCCGCAGTTGTCACCTCGATGTGAATTGGATATTTCGCAGGGTCATGACTCATATCCTTTAAAACCATGTAAGACAAGACGTTCTCATCACTTTTGATTGCTACTGGAGGCAGATCACTGTTCAAGACATACTTCATTGTCACAGCAACTTTTGCAGGGTCAAAGCTAAACTCTTTCATAACTGTGTCGACAAGCCTCAAATACCCGCAACTACGATCAATTAAAACCAGTGACACTTGTGATCCATTCAACAGACACACGTGAATTAACCCAATTTTCTGCAAAATTAGCAAATACATGATCAGCCTAACATCCAAATATATGTTAAATCTAATTGCAAATGGGTCAAAATTAAATTAATGGTCAAATGTCACAATAAACATATATCGAATCTCAAGTATCATTGTCACGTATTGAAAACATGCAGGTCACATAGTTTTATTTCCCAGATTTTTTTTACGATAGGTCACAGATCATTGCATAGGTCACATGTGACATTTAAGTCTTTTATATTGGTCACAGTTAATTGCATGTCGGTCACAATTCTGTTAAATGATCACAGATCAAAGCAAACGCATGTAGTACCTTGAATGTCATGGTCACACATTGAATACATGCAGGTCACATGTATTCAATGTGTTACAATTACATGCAATAATCGGTCACAGTAACTAAGTATAGGTCTGTCGCATATGATTAGATTCGAACAAGAGCATCACTATCATAATACACAGATTCAAACATTTCACACATTTCGAGACACAAATACCCATACATACTGAATGCATGAGGTTATATCTTGCATCAAGGTTCACATGTTTTCCATAATGGTCACAACAGTTTCGAACGGCAATGTCCATTATTCATGATCAAAGTCCTGGCAAAAATCATATTTCTTATCAATCGAAGCTTGTCTAGCGTGAAAAAACGACAAATTATAATGAATAAATCACAATTACACACCTGATCAATTTAATTACACGCCCGAATAATATTTTCAGTGACTGTTCGAGCCGATCTCATACGACCCGCGACTGCAATTTGTGACCAGAATTCGATTTCACCGTCAATTCCGCA